TGAACCGCACCGTCCCTCAAAAAGTGGGAACCGGCGACCTCACGACAGAGCCCGGGACCCCCAAAATGCCACTTTAATCCAAACAAGCAAGAAATGATCGGAAACTTAACTATTAATTTTTGCATCAGTCCTGATCTGCTGAGATTGAGCAGGTTTATGCCGATTTCGATAAGCACATGCACAGATATGAAATATTCAGGGAAATTCTCCCTTCAATCGAGCCGCGTTTTGCAAATGCTTTTTTATTTTCTTCGCCCCTTTGCTAAACTGCGCTTTAGCCTCGGCTTCAGCTTTAGATTTATTATGTGTTTCTCAGAAACCCTTACCACCCACACAGATGCTTGAACTGACAAAAGTTTCTAGGCTTCTCCCTGCGTGAATGCAGCCTGCCAGTCCCTCTCCGCTGCAAAATGGGAGAAATGGAGCTTGAACAAACAAACTACAAACCAGCCGCGTTGCCGTTCTCCAGCAGGCAGCTTATTTTTTTTCTCTCTGAAATTTTTACTTTCTAGACTTCCCTAGTTCAGGCCCTTGGATTCAACTTTTTAAAGCTTTCTTGGTTGAAGTAACTCTTTTGCGAAAGCCAAAATTCTTCGCTGAGTGAGTTAGGCCGAGCTGTCAAAAGTCTTTCGAGAAAAAGATTGATCGTTTCTCTCTTCTTTTCGGTCTGTGTGGACCCGGGCACTTTAAAAGGGGGGGAAAAAAAAAAAGTCTTCCTGGGAAATTACTTCTCATTTTATTTATTTATTTATTTTGTAAACTCTGGAAGTGGAGCCGTTTATTGGGGAGGGGGAAAAAATGGGAAGGAAGAAATGTGATTTCAAAGATATCCGTGACTTTAAAGCATGTTTGGCCTTTAAGGGAAGCGTAAAGCGTCCATTAAGTCTGGCTTTAGAAGCAGAAGTGTTGCGCTGGTTCTTTACGAGTGATGTACCCAGGGCACTCGGGCCGGCCCAGCTGTACCCGGCCTGAGGCTCACTTGGTTACCCGAGTGCTGCTGCCCAGAGCCAGGCCCGACCCCCGGCCCAGACCCTCCTGCTGGCTTGAACTTCCCAAGCTCTGCGATACGGATAAAATATGCAAATGCGCCCGGCACCGCCGGCCTCGCTCGCCAGACCCCAGCTCCCCGCTCGCCTGCGGCTCAGGCTGCCTTGCCCCGGCTGCCGGCGGGCGGCCAGGGGGGGGCAAAGCCCCTTTTCCCACGCCTGTCCCCCCGCTGGGGGTACAAACCCTCGGGAGCTCAGCGAGCGCCTCTGGAGCCGCCCGGCACAGGCAGGGCAGGCAGCACCAGGCAGCACCAGGCAGTGCAGGCAGCGCAGGCAGCGCAGGCAGGGGCTCCCTGCCCGCAGCCCGCCGGCCCCGG